TTTCGATCCCGTTTGAATTGTGCCATGAATTACACATATGATGTTTGTCAATCGTAAAAAATAATTTCCATGTCAAAAAAGTCACAGTTTGTCTTAAAACTGTTGAAATATAAGACTATGAAAAATACGCAACTAGAAAGACTTCAAATCCCAGAGTCGCGTAAGTAAATTTAAAAGCTAGCTGACATTAACGTTACACATTACACTCGTGTTACTCACCGAAACCTTGTATAGCCGGTCCGCATGCTGGCTCTTACGGAACCCACTAACTCCTCTTTTGTGTATGTACAGCTCTCAACATGCCCAGACTTGGAGTGATTTTCACCTCTTTTAATACTTTTCACTTCATTCTGAAAGAAAGAAGGGAAATGTGCTAATGTGACGGCAATCTTGGTGTTGGTGACGTTTGCAAGACCAGAGTTGTAGTTCATTAAGCGTTTCACACAAAAAAAGTGTTACTTCACAGTTTTACGACACATTTTTATTTTTTTGACTTGCAAAATTATCTTTTAATCATCATATGTGTAATTTGTGGCACAATTCAAACGGGATCGAAAGATAATCTTTCTCTCTCCATTGACTTCAATACATACTTTTTCCGAAATAAGGTCCCATGGAGGTCCCCCGGAAAGGGAGGGGCTTCGCCACTCTATTGCTCTCTCCCGCGAGTGCCGTTTTAGTGCTCGCGAAAATAATATACGTCCGCGGCTGCTTGACTTGTGCTGGCGTGGATCTCATATGCCCTTGCGATTTATGACAGAGATTTGCCGCCATAAAAAAGGTTGTACGACAAATAGTTCTGGTGAATGATTATCATTGGCTGAGCCGCTTCGTAACTTATACTCATATTACTTACATTTGACAGCATAATCTTTTTTAATGACCCCTCTTTCATTGGTAAAGGAAGGTGGAACAAAATGTGCCAGGATATTGTTTTTAATGTAATTTCCCCTTTTTTGAAGGAACAAAAAGATTATCTTTTTTTTTACCTCTTTATTGAGTCATAACTTTTGTAATTGGATCCCAAGAATATCCTTTTTTCCCCCACCTCTCAGGGCTTCCTTAGCAATCACAGTTTTTAACATAGTTTGATCTGAAAATGTAAGATGGATGGACAGAACTTAAAAGATCACAAAGCAATAGAAAAGTGCAGCGTTCTTTACTTCTGATTAGGGCTCAAAGATTTGGAACAAATAATGAATTGCAATTGTTTTAACATGTTATTGTAACTCATTTACAGTATGATTCACGATATTTGGGGGAATGATCATTTCTGCATCAGTATTTTAATTTCCATTAGAATATTTATATACTTCGTGCAATTTTGATTATTTGGGTATTGAACTGGTCCATATTGAAGTTCATAACATTGTGATGAATTTTGCGCTCTGTTCTGGATCTACCTGATGAAATCCCAGAAGTCCATCCAGAAGAGGCCGTCCACAGCTCTCTGGGCACAAAGCTGCCTCTTCAGGTTGGGAGGCCAGCTGGGCCAGTCATCGGCCCAGGATCCCGTCCAGGAGAAGCGGCCCCACGGGTTCCTCAGCTGCACTAACCTGAAAAAAAACAATAGATGTTAAAACACTATTAAAACAATTACATCTCAAAATAAAGCATAAAGAAGTACAGCGCAACCACAAGCTAAAATCATATGCAAACTGTGGCTCCATTCTGTGGGGAAGCTTTTTTTTTAATGGACATTTGGGAATAGAGCACTGTTTTTTTTCAAATACCAGAGTTTGGTAATATCTATCAGGAGAGAAAAGTCAGTTTGTTGCATCTTTTTTGTTATTGATAATAAGCAGAACTATTTCAATTGAATACAAGTTGAAATCAAACAAAGGTACACTAACTGGAGTATCATTTGACTTACTTGAAAACACTGTCTCCTCACCTCTGAGCGTCTACATCCCTCACGTCTAGCACAGAGTAAGCGTGTCTTGGACGTAAACCCAGGGACTCGTACTCCAAGTCATCCACCTTCATGTTACCACCCCCACAGGATGCCCCCATCAGGAAACTAGCAGCACAACAAACAGAGTCAAGATGCATCTTTAAGCGGGGACCCTACAAATGAATAGGGCACAAATGCATATAATTAAATGTTATATTTAAATATGTTCAAACAAGCCTAAAAGAAGACATGTTATAGAAGCAAAAATATTGGATCAGTGTACATTGTTTTGCATGTAGTGTCTTGTCTTTTCAGAGTCTTTCCCCGACGCTCACCCTGCCTCTTTGGAGCTCAGCATTTTGGCCCAGATAAGATCCGTGTCGATGGGCTCCTCCTTGGGGTTGGTGGTGCTGACCTGCAGAGCCAGAGACTCGCAGGGAGCCCCGGTGAGTGTGGACAGACCCTCGATAGCACGACCTGCCTGCAGAGCAAAGTAGGAGCCGTGCAGCTTGGCCAGAGCTTTTTCAATCAGAGCCACCCAGAGCTGCTTCCGCTGGGCCTGGGGAGGGAGAAGGTTAATTATCTTCTGCACAGCAGCTTGAAAAGCACATCACGGGACCAGCATCTGCATTTAGAGATAAAAGGCAGTGTTACCCAGAGGAATTATTGATGTAACTCCTTAGAAAAAAAAAAATATATATACTGTATATATAAGTACTGAGAAATAAACGTTACATTTAACACTAGAACCGCCAGAGGTCGCTGTATACCTAAAACCGCCAACGGGTAAAATGTACCCGCTATTGATTTTCAAGGTACAATGTTATTTTATTTATCATACAGAACAGTGAGTTTTGATCGCACAGGGATGACATTTATACCAATAGAATCTGTGGACTCTCAGCTTTTCATATGATATAGTTTGTGCAGATAGCATGAAGTAGAAAATATCGCTACAAGTGCTGATTTAAACGCTTGGTGTTAGACTTGTGTTTTGTTTAGGTACAAATGTCTCTATCTATTGATATATCTGTAATGTTCTGTTCTATGAACATATAATTGTCTACATAAACAGACAACGCGGACTACTTCTCTCATTCCGAGTGTCCATCTTTATTCAACTGGCACGTAACCTGCACACATGCATTACGTCCTCAACGTGAGCTCAGTCATCCAAGATCTTGTATTCTCCAAGATGTTACACTATCTATAACTATACATCTATCTCTCTCTTTCTCTATCTATCTATCAATATATCTATCTATCTCTCTCTCTCTCTCTCTATCTATAAGGAACCGCAGTAGACAAAAGGCGTTGCCATAGCAACACGTCATGTTTACACTGCATTTTCTATAAGGTAAATATTACCCGCTGGCGGATATGGGTATAAATGGCAATTTATTTGGCGATTTTTTCAATCTGACTTCCTATTGACAATTTTTAACAACAGAAGGTGCTATATAACACACTTTCAGGAAAAGTCACGGACTGGGAGACTTCAATATGTTATGGAAAA